ATCACAGCAATCTTCTCTTGAGGACTGTGATAAATCTGTAATTCTGCTTCCTTCCTATAGCTGTGCCTTTAGAGCCGTTTATATACACAGTAAAAGCTCCTGGCCGGAGCCACAACACATAGTTTAGAAGGAAGCATTTATTTGCTTTTCCATCAGGGAAAATTACTATGCTTTAAATTATTAAACTTTAAAAAAGGAAAACCAAAAAACATGATTTTATTTTTAGCTGCTTATATTATTATTTTGCGTCAGATGGAATTACTGTATTATAAATGAACAGGAGTCAAACCTACATATGTCACATGAGATTTCAAAAAAGTGAGTTAAACACAATTTTTTTTAAGATACTGATGATTATTATGTTGCAATTATTTAGAAAGAAAATAAAAATCCTTATTAACAGGTTTCATTTTTCAGTTCTTTTTTATTTTTATTTAGGGTTAGGAAATGGAATTATGGCACTTTCATAGCTTTTCTGTTGACTTTTGATATTGAAAATCTAACTCTTCTGTTGTCTTCTGTTGATATGTTATGTGTTTGAAACAATATGTTGTAGAATAAATATTAAATGAGAAATAAGTCTGTGAATTAAGAGGAAAAAGTACTGATATTTTATTACCAGGTTTTCATACCATAATTACAACACAAACATAGACAATAGATCACTTTAAACTATTAAAATATGTCAATAAAAGTCACTTTTTCAAAATTTTAACATAAAAAGTTAATGGAGGAAAAATCAACTCTAACCCATTGAAAAGTGTCACACTCACCAAAAATAATAATAATAAAAAATATACAAAAAAAAAAAAAGAATCCAATATGCATATATCTCTTTATTGGTTGGAGGTCAAAAGTAATAGTGCAATAGAGGTCAAACAGTGAATATATGTGTGAGCAATAGACATGGCAGAATCGTGAGCCGATAGTGTCCAATAGTAAGCCGAAACCATTCAAAAAGACCACATAACCCAGATATCCCACCAGAGTCCTGACAAGACACAGAGTAACATATACAAGTAATAACAAATTGATGAAGCAATCCAAGGCTCATTCTAAAAACGTAGTCCCGTAATGCCAAAAGGACAGACGTCAAACCCCCCTGTATTGTTTGCTTAAACATTAAATGCAGCCATACGTACCTCTGGCTACACTGGCGGTCTTCTGAAACGTCCACAGGACCTCATTTTCAGGATGAGCTTGTGTTAAATAAAGCATACTGTCGTGACAACATAAGACAATAGAAGTGTGCGCACACCTACAGACAGAAAAAAAGCATAAAGAAGAAACAAACAACAACAACAAAAAAGAAAATCTGTGGAGCAATAAACTGACTCAGGTTTTGTTCGAATTAAAGATGTTTAGTAGATACTCATGCAGTGTAACAATAAACTCAAATGGTCAAAAAATGTGTCACTTTCGTATCCCATAATATAACTAAAAACAGTCTAATAAAGGTGGAGCAAACCATCACAAACAAAGGAGTAGGGGTGAAATCAGCAAATGCACATGACTAAAGATATCAATATTTGTAAACTGTACAGGTATTTGAGCACTATTAATATATTATATTAAATCAAATTATGGTTCTTACAAACAGAAATCACAAAATACAGAAAGCTGTTAATTTACAGTATGGAGATTTTTTTTACAATGATGATTTTTTTTAAGTACAAGCAATTTATTAAACTTGGAAGAGTTTGGATTAGTTTTGCCATAACAGAAGTGAATAATTAGGTTTTTGTTCCAGCGCAGACAAATCTGTTTTCATTTATTTATTTTTTTTCAACAGATTTAATTTAGATGTTAATTAATTCAGAAATTTTTACCCAGTTCTGCTTTTTATCTTAATTTAACCAAGCACAGCCAAACTTTGGTGCCTTATGTTCTGTCATCGAGCCTCATTTGTTTCTGAATGAGGTCAAACTTTAGCAGTGCAATTTAGGCACATTAATTCACACATTCGTCGACCAATCAATTCATATTTCATATGTTCTTTGGTGATAGAAAAGTCTCTGAAAAACACAAGTTTGCTAAATTTGCAGCAAAATCACAAATACATTTTAATTTGTTTTGAAGGGGCAAAAAAAAAAAACAACTTGCGATATGATATACTGAGTAATTACTTGGTGGAATATAAAATGTTGTCTCCTATACAAAAAAAAAAAAAAAATACATAAAAACAAAACTAATCTAATTACTTGCATTGTTTGGTGGCATAAGAATTAAAAAGTTCTTCCAGTTGCAGATATAATAAATGTGGGGCTGAAAGAATCATTTAGAAATGCAAAGAGTGAAACACTATTAAAAAATATTTCTCTTTATAGACCATTTTTTTTTCAAATAATAGCATTATGACCACAGTTAAGACTATAATATATATATAATATAATATGATATACAATAATATAATAAAATAAACCTTTAATTAAGCTTTTAATCCTAACTTTAAGCCAAATACTAGTTTCTTGCAAAATAACTAATAAAATACACTCAACGG